AGGTTTCTAATAGATGTAGTTAATATCAAACAGCAAACCAAACCAAAAATTATGTTTTATTTTACTGGTATTCCTCACATTTTAGGCCAGTGCAAATAATTTTGAATTTGCAAAAATTTTTAGAAAGCTGCGACCATTGAAAATAGTTAGCATTAGTAACCCTTATTAACATACTAAAAGTCCCCATTTGTCGGGTGTGTGCGTCATCAAAAAAAATCGGCCGCCATCTTGAATTTTGGTACTTTTTGGGAAAAAATGTTAATAACTCGAAAACCGTGCGTTATAGCGAAAAACTCCAAGAGATAAAAATTAAAGAGAATAAAGAATCAATAAAAAATAGTTTATTATCCTAACGCAGTGACGTACAAAAAAATTTTGAAAATCGAGCAATTTTTAAAAGGAATCACCGAAATGCAAATTACTAAACTTTTAAGCTTATTAACAAATAACATGGATATTTAGCATCAATTCAACTAAAATACAATCCTTGTGACATTTTCAAGAAATATTTATTGGTGGTTTAATAATATTTCAAAATTAACAAAAATTGTAAAAGCTATTCTTTACTAAATACATGTGTACTAATAATGTACGAAAGCAGCCTCCACCTTGTCCCGGTCGGGGCTATTTGCACTTAAACCAGGTCTCTTTGTTACCATTTTGTAAACAACTTCTTTTTAAAAATACATACAGTGAGAGTTTGAAAAATTAGGCTACAGGCTGGAAGAAAAAAATAAAATCTAAAGTACTTGCGAATGTCTTTTTGACATAAATATCATCTACGATCTTAACACTTTTTCATTATGATAAATACATTATAAATATACCACCCCTACAAATCGAATAACAATCATTCAAATTATGACCATTTTAATAAAAATGTGTTACCAACTTGTAACCTAACTTTTCAAACTGTCATCTCTAGAAAAAAAATTAAGTTTACAATTTTATTCGATTTGTTCTTCATCGACCGAGATTTCTTTGTTGTCGCAAGAAATACCATTACAGTTACCACACAAGTTTGAACAGGGCATATTGGATTTTAAACATGTACATAGTTTATTACATCCAGATTTGCAATTACAGTAAATCATTTTCAATACAAATTCTGGTGCCACTGCGTTTGACGTTGTTTTTAGAACAAAGGTATCCGTTTTTTTAGTCCATCCCCATTCTGTTGCCTCTTTTCCGTTATTTAGCCAATACTGCATTTGTAAATGATATATAATAATGATTTTCAGCTGCGTTAGTTGTTGGAGGTAAGGTAGCTAAATCAAAATTTTTACTAAGTACCTGACGAGATGTAAGGGTTTTATATTTATAATACCTCAACTGATCTAAATCTTTTGCTAGCCTATGTCGACCATATAATGAAAATAAGAATGTATTTCCAGCTTCGACTAGCTCAGATTTTTGTGCTGCAGGATCTAAAAAAATGGATGTAATTTGTCGCAGATGAGGATCTTTTTGCAACGTTTCGAGAATCGCCAGTTTACCTTTTTTAAACAAGCACGAGGTTGTATCACACCCTCATATAGCATGTGCAAATAAGAGTGAATGCTTCATGTCACCAATCTTGTTCTGCATATTACCGATGTCAGTTACTCTGTGAGGTTTGGACGATTTTCCAGGCCGAAGCATAAAAATAGAATTTTTTGTCCGATAATGCAGTAATAAAACTAACAAATCAGTATCTGTAGTCTAATTATTCAAACTGTCACTGTATTTTTAAAAACAAGTTGTTTACAAAATGGTAACAAAAAGACCTTGGTTTAAGTGCAAATAGCCCGATCGGGACAAGGTGGAGGCATCTTTCGCACATTATTAGTACACATGTATTTAGTAAAGGATACACTTTTACAATTTTTGTTAATTTTGAGATATTATTAAACCACCAATAAATATTTCTTGGAAACGTCACAAGGATTGTATTTTAGTTGAATTGATGCTAAATATCCATGTTATTTGTTAATAAGCTTAAAAAATTAGTAATTTGCATTGTGATTAGTTTTAAAAATTGCTCGATTTTCAAAAAAATTTTGTACGTCACTGCGTTATGATAATAAACTATTTTTTATTGATTCTGGTAGAGTTTTTTATTCTCTTTAATTTTTACCTATTGAAGTTTTTCGTTATAATGCACCGGTGTCGAGTTATTTACATTTTTTCCCAAAAAGTACAAAAATTCAAGATGGCGGCCGATTTTTTTTGATGACGCACACACCGGACAAATGGGAACTTTTAGTATGTTAATAAGGGATACTAATGCTAACTATTTTCAATAGTCGCAGCTTTCTAAAATTTTTTGCAATTTCAACATGGTAAATGTCATAACTGCACTGGGGTATTTGAAAGGAAAGTCATTTCATAAATAAGCAGAAGGACATCGTATAGTACACTCTATATTAATAATTCTTTTTTATCCTATACTTGTTAGTTGACGCATCACTTACTAGGTATAAAATTTAGTACAGATTCCAGACCTATAGTTGTGGTTGTGACATATTCTGATGTGTTTCTGGCAATTTAAAATAAGTTAATATTTAAACAAACATTTCTGGCTTTCCTGACAGGAGTGTGAACACAAATTTAATAAAGGTATAATGTGGATAATGTTCTGATTATTACAGTTTGCATGGATGACTGTTTTTGTATGTTGTTATTTTTAATAAAGCATATTTAGTGAGTTTTTGAGTATTTCTTTTTCCCTCAGAGGATTGTGTTCTAATCTTTACATATAAATTTTCATAAATTATTATATCTACAAAATTTATTACCTTATAACTTTTTGCTAGACTTTGTAGTTGATACAGTTTAACAGTATATAAAAGAACTATTTAAATAAGATGTTTGAAAATATATAGCTGTTTTTGCACACATCAATTCAATTTGTGATTAATTGTACTGAAATAAAAACATAAATTAAGAGAAATGGGGTGATCTATCAACTATATCATGAAACGCATCGTCCTATCTCCAAGTCTTCTATTAATTTCACTTATTAAAGAACTATAATTATTCAATAATCTTGATAATTCTAGGAACTCTCAGATATCGTCAAAACATGAAAACAAAAATTAACTTCCTATAGTTCTTACGTCCCTTTAACTAAAATATAAGAAACAGGGGAGTTATTATTCTCACTGAGAAAGTTTATAAAATACCTTTAAGTAAAATCTCTTCAGATCTGCGGTAAAATACCTTTATTCTTATTAAATAATTTCAATAATCTATGTTCTTATTTATTTGTGATTTATGACAACCAACCACCTAATAACCTAACTTCATCCATAAGGACAATGTAAACACTATTTGGCGCTATTCTTGCAACGGTCGCGACCCAAAACTTTTGAAAATTTCGGAGCGGTTCGGCTTTTTCCGGAATTATATCGCCAAATATTGTTTATTCAAATTTATTATTATTTTCGTTCGTTTATTTATAAATAAAATACAGTGTGTTGCATACAAGAAACTTTATTTTATATAAGGACGCATGTATGAAATACCTATGAACTATGAAACATTGGAAACCGACGTTATGAGGCGATCATAGATAAATGAAACAAGTTTAGATTGGAAAGTGCCTATAAGGACAATATAAACACTATTTGGCGCTATTCTTGCAACGGTCGCGACCCAAAACTTTTGAAAATTTCGGAGCGGTTCGGCTTTTTCCGGAATTATATCGGCAAATATTGTTTATTCAAATTTATTATTATTTTCGTTTAATTTTATAAATAAGATACAGTGTGTTGCATACAAGAAACTTTATTTTATATAAGGACGCATGTATGAAATACCTATGAAACATTGGAAACCGACGTTATGCCACGATCCACGATGGTTTTTTCAGTTCACAGTTGACAGCACAGCTTTTTAAGTTTTTAATGCCACTTTTTCACAATTATCACCGGTTGGAGTAAATAAAACTTGAATTAAACTCACAAGATAGCAATAATTACTTTGAAAATGGACGCTATAAACACTTTTCGGAATTCCTTCAATGAGAACGGTTTAGATTTTGAAAGATTATTATGATTTTTGAAGATTCTGACTTTGACAAGAGAAAATTATTTCTGTTTTTGTTTGCCGTTGTTCTTAGCGACCGCTATAGCAGCGCCAGATCGCGTATAACGGTCGCGACCCAAAATAATTTTGCGACCAAAAATTTTGACGGGCTTTCCAATCTAAACTTGCTGCATTTATCTATGCCTAACTTTAACATCAACTTGATAATCCTGAAAAATGTTATTGTTAACCAAAGAGTAAATCAAAAATCAATTTCTGAATTCGCTAACGCCAACATATTTTTCATTAAAAAAAAATACCAATTTTCGTAACTAGGTCGGCCATATTGAGGAACTTTTAAAAGAATTGTACTATAGCTGGGCCGTTGGCGTTGCCTGGTAATTAAAATATAATTAGAAAAAAACTAATTTTAAAAAGTTTTAACATCCTGTAGCTCTAAAACTATGCATTTCCATACCCATGTTTATACGAACTTTTTTTCATATTTGTTGATGAGGAATCAATAATGAGTACTTATTTAAAACGTTTGCAAGTTAACGATATTAATTTTTTTTTGAAGGTTGCTATTAGACTTGGATCAAGGCAAATTAATAAAATTGCATTTATCTCATCAAGGAGGTCGAAATCGGCAAAATATCAAGAGACAACTTTTAATGGGTATTAAACTGCTTACACTATTTCACTAACAAAGAGAAAAAAGTCAGTGGCCCTAGTGAATATGTCGACACTTTTTAAACTTTAAAATATGTCGCATTTATAGCACAACTTTTACCCCCAAAATTTTATTCAAAACGCTAAAAGTACTTGGAAGAAAATTATAATAAATCGCAAAAATATTAAGACACCCTGTAGCTACAAAAAAAGCAGAACCGAACCTATGAAAAATAAATCTTAGTTTGACTTGAGGAATTTCCCCACGAGAGATGGTACATGTTTTTTAAAACACCCTGTATAGCGTTGAAAGTTTTTAGCCGAACATGATGTCTCAATTGTTGAGGCCCTCATAAAGGTCTTGAATGAAGGGATGATGGACGATATGGGCAATCTATTACCTGCGTTTAATTTATCTTCGGAAGGATGGTTTGCCTTGCCAGGCGGTTTTGCAACTATATGGCCCATTATCTCAGGAATCTTAGACTTTTTCAAGAAAACGGATTACAGACCATTTGGATCATTAGCATTAAGGTTAGTAAATAATGTCTATACAGGCTTCTACAAATTCGAGGTACGAGCATCTCGGAAACCGTAATAGATAAGAAGATGGTTAAATTGGGGCAAAGTTGGTATTTTCCTTGGCATGTTCACCACGATGCCATCAAAAAAATAAATTTTAAAGTTTTAATAATTTCAAGGATTGCTGAGTTTTTTTGGAAAATCAATTTTATTTTTTCCTGTCGTTACTTTTTAGAAAACCAAAAAACTAATTGTACATTTTCATAGCCACTTTATTAGGGTTATCTGATTTTTAAATTAGTTGATAATTTGTGAGATACAGAGGCCAACTTAATTTTTTTAAATACGGACCTGCTTTTTTATTTCAGGTTTTGAAAGAAAGTTTTTTTTCTGAATATCTTTGGAAATATAGTTATTGTTATTTTAATAATGTTATTTTAATGAACTAATATCTTTACTTTTATTTTTCATGTAGTATACCTCTGATACTGTTGCTGATATCCTGTAATGGTTTATTTGTTATGTTCGCCATCCTCTATGAACTAGGCCAAAAGTTGACCTTACAAACTGTTCTGATTTTCCTGATCACCGCGCCCATTTTACTTTTTAGTTTCATAGGAGTGTTCGGCGGCCTGCTCCTCTACGGTGTGGCAGGTAAGTTCCATACCAAGATCATATATACTTACGTGGATAAGTAAATCATTATGGAAACTGTCGCAAACATATCAACGACTTCCATTTATCTTCTTTTTTTGTGGCACACGCGGTGCTTCTACTCTATCTATCCTTGTCGAGGACCTAACGTCCGCGCGCCAAATTTGTACATTAATTTTAAAAATATAATTTGTAAAATGAATATATTTAAACAATAAACTGAATGTTTACTGTCACAACAATTAAACTATATAAAAAATACACATAGCCACTCCGTACGAATATCAATATTCTTAGGAAATCTAACCAGAAAGTATGCATGTGGTTTAATATAAATCAGGGGTGGATGGGCCATATGGGAAAACGGGAAAATTCCCGGTGGGCCGGTGGAAAGATTGGCCGGCGGGCCGGTCCTGATCAGAGCTCAAAAAAAGATTGATTTAGCAAAAATTAAATGGTTAATCTTCTCCCTTTACCGTTTTTCAAGTAAGTCAAAAATAACCAAGTTATTTTACTTTAAAAATTTAAACAAAAAATGCTGTTTTGCTTAAATTTTGAGAACCACTGGATCTTTTCTGGATTTCCTTTCATGTAAATTTAATCTACTATCTAGTTCAGCTGGCCCAATCCTCTGTGAAATACATTATTTTTAGTTTTTCAGGTATATAATTTCTTACACATTGTAGAAAGAAGTTCTCTCTTTTCTGTTAGAGCAGCAGCCTCGTCGTGTATACGTGTTTTTAACTGAATGAACAATTTATTTGCAGTCGCCATTAAAACTGCTGCATTTTTTAGGTTATTATTATGGAAGGCTTATAAATTAGTTCTTATCACTTTTTCTGTATGCTTTTCTATATTTGGCATCTTGTATGGTAATACCATGACAAACGAAAAAAACCTAGACCTATATGCAGTGCACATAAATGTGTTCTGAGGTAATGAATGATATGTCACAGTCCATAATAAGAATATTTGGATTTTCCAGACATATTAATATTTTATTATCTAATCTAGTTTAAACCTTATTTAACTCTTCTCTTCTGTCTAAGTAATTTTTAGTAAATTAATTTAAGCAACATTTTAGACTTGGTAGTTCTCAAGCAAAGAGATAGCCATCGCAAGTTTTCTCTGTCAACCGCAGAGTTCGCGTCAAATTCGTCAATCTTTTTACAAAGGGGAGCTCGTGTTGCAGCTTTTTCAAAAAAATATTGCACCGAAGCCCCCAGTTGTCAATCTACGTTACCGTATTCTTAGTATACACTTAGATCGAGACTATTTAAATTTACCTAATGCTATTCATTCTTTTTTCTGCTGCCAGTCAGTCATATTTATTAGTTACTAATAAAAGAATAGTGGTGAAACTATATAGGGTGAATCTTAAATAAGTGCAAATATTTTCAGGGGTGGTATATTTTGACCCCAAGAACAAGTTTATGAGGTTTCTTTTGCAAAAAAAAATCGTGCATTTTCTTTGAACTTTTCCTATATATTTTAAAAAACTTTTTAGAACTTCCTGTTCACCGCAAATTTTCCCACGGTATAGTTTCTTAATCTCTGATATTACGGCACGAAAAGAGATGCAAATACCGAAAAATTGAGGTGACTCAATTTTTTTTAAAAACAAATCTTTTTTTAATTTTCAAACTTTAATAACTCGATTGGACTTATTTGAAACACGGTAAAGAGAATATATCGTCCCACTGCTGCCAAAAGTCACTAACTTACTTTTTATTACTTCTGAGAAAAATGCGTCTAAAGATGAATTGAATTGCATGAAGATGTTATAGTTAGTAACATAAATAGCCAGAAATCTTAGTTAATTACTTTTGCAATCGATTCTCCGCTTCAAAACATAATTAGTGATTGAATTTGGTTGTTCAGAAAAATGTTAGTTAGTGACTTTTGGCAGCAATAGGACGATATTATGTTTCTTTTATTGAGATCTACCAGCTCTGAAAATATTTGCACTTATAAAGTCACCCTGTATAATGAACATTTTCAAACCGAACAAACAACAGATGTTTATTAAAATTATAAGTGTCTCAAAGAAAGACATCTTACAACAGTTATTTTACAAATTGGTGTTTATGTTTATAAGCAACTGACGATTATACTGATGATGCAAATTGATTAGTTAGTTATGGAGTCTCTAAGAATCTTACTGTCACTTTAGTTAGAAGATTAACCATTTAAATTTTGCTAATCCAATTTTTTTTTGAGTTCTGATTGGGACCGGCCGACTCACCGGCCCATCTTTCCACCGGCCCACCGGGAATTTTCCCGTTTTTCCCATATGGCCCATCCACCCCTGACTAGGACCAAAGGCAATGGCATGGATTTAATGTAAAAAATACGAAAAAATGTTAGTGTCTTCCTCAAAAGCGAATATCTCCAAAAAAATAAAGCTATAATGAGATGGAACCAAGAAACAAACTATTGAGAAAATATACACCTAGATAATTATGAGGATTTAAAATGATTTTTAAATTCCTTGCTTTGTTAACATATTCCACAGGGTGTTTCAAACTTTCATCAAAATATCAAAAATTTGTTTTCCCTGGTATAATTTACAGATGGTAACTTTCAATTTTAATTTAGAAAGAGACAGGAAAAAGTCAAATAATTTAGTTACAAATTGCTTAAAAAATCACCAAAATTGGTTCACAAGAACACAATATACCTACAGGGTTGTTCACCACATACGACACGGAGTATTGTAGCTAAACGACTAGATTTTTACAAATTGTAAGTTTTGGGTTCGATGAAGGACTATTAGAGCTACAATATAAAAATATTTTTACAAGATACAGAATGTCCCAAATGAATAAAAAATATTATAGTTGTATTTTTTTAAATGGAACACACTATATATTATTACATTTTTAGTTTCTACGATTAAAATAAAGGTAAATTTGATTAAGGTTTATTACACTTAAACCTTACCGTTTTTGAAATATTTTCAATTTTGTGAAATTGCAGTAAAAATTTCTTCATTTCTTTCAAAAAAGCTTCATTTCTCCGAGGGTATCAAAGTTTTTATTACTAAATATTTACTGAAGTGTATTTATTGATCAGTTATTGTGTTGCAAAAATAAAAACTTTACTACCTTATACAGAGTGTCTAAAAATTTATTTTAAATAATTACTAGCTTTAAACGGCAATAACTTGTTTAATTTAAATGGAACACCCTGTATATTTTATGAAAATCAGATGCACAATTTAATTGTCTATCAAATTATATTATAGCATTTTTTATCTATCTTTTCAAGTTTCCGTAGAAAATGCATTTTCTTGTAATTTAGAACTCATTTATCAATATACCCTTGGAATACTGACATTTTAGATTATTTTTAAAGAGTACAGATACCGATATTGTCGATATAGTTCGTTTATTTTATTAAAATATAAAAAAACTCTTTAAATATTTTTTGTTAAAGAGGACCAACTAATATGATTCCAGTATTCAAACTACATTAATTGACTGTTTGCGTGGATTAATAATAATTGCTCCAAATACTAAAAAACTGAATTATGTATGTGTATTAGACAGTGTGGTAAAAAGTAACACCTTAAAAATGATATTTAATTTTTTGACAAATGCTTATTTATAACAACAGAGACGTTCGCATTTTCCTAACTTATTATTATATTGATTTCTGATTCAAATCCACATTTATGTAAAATAATTTATTAACGAACACAATTAAGTATGTAATTAATTGGTATTTGGGCGGAAATACTGGTGGTATATTTAATTAATGGTATACTCTTTTATAAAGATTTAAATAGTTTTCTTTTTGCATACAAATGGGCTAATAATATTATCGTTTTTAGTAAAACGATAATATTACAGTAGCCTGTACATTTTGTACAACTGTTGTTTTAAAAACAATCTAAAATGTCAATATTCCATGGGTATATTGATAAATGAGGTCTAAATTATAAGAAAATGCATTTTCTACGAAAACTTGAAGGAATAGGTAAGAAGTGGTATAATACAATTTGATAGACAATTAAATTGTGCATCTGATTCTCATAAAATATACAAGGTGTTCTATTTAAATTAAATAAGTTATTGCCGTTTCCAGCTAGTAATTATTTAAAATAATATAATTTTTATTATTGCAACATAACAACTGATCAATAAATAAACTTCAGTAAATATTTAGTATTAAAAACTTAGATATCCTCGGAGAAATGAAGCCTTAAAATTTATACTGCAATTTCGCAAAATTCAAAATATTTCAAAAACGGTAAGGTTTAAGTGTAATAAACCTTAATCAAATTTACCTTTATTTTAATCGTAGAAACTAAAAATGCAATAATATACAGGAACACCCTGTATATTATTTGCATTTAAAAAAATACAACTTTGATATTTTTTATTTATTTGGGACACTCTGTATCTTGTAAAAATATTTTTAAATTGTAGCTCTAATAGTCCTTCAACGAACCCAAAACTTTTTTTTTTTGAATTTGTAAAAATCTAATCGTTTAGCTACAATACTCCGTGTCGTATGTGGTGAACAACCCTCTATAAAACTTTAAAATACATGAAAATGAGGTGCCCGTTTTTCGTGCCGGTGAGTGTATATACAGTATGTTCCCGAATTGTCTTTACAAGAGGAAACATTTTTTTTAAGTTTTAAAGAAAATAAAGATACATGGTTTAATTTTTTTTTTGAACTTTAGATGAAACTAGTCATGTTTTAGGTGTCTTTACTATCATCATAAAACTTATCGAGTTGATAGCCATGTCTCTCTTCGACGCTATTGTTGCGGCAGTTAGGATAATCACAGACATGATAATGTCGTTTTTCACAAGCAACGACGCAGTCAAAAGACCAGACCAAACACTGAACATACAAGACAATGTCAACGAAAATGCCATGCGACTACAGAATCTTTTCAGTGAACACGAAAAGAGGTAAGCATAATTATTTAATAACTATTGGACCAATCAGAACCAGGGTTGGGTAGGTAGAAAATTTTACATATTCTACCATATTTTCTACACGTAGAATATTAATTTTCTACACCAACTAATTGTCTACATTTTCTACATGTACCGGGTGGCCAATTAAGAATGGACGCCGACTGTATCTCAGAATATACTTATCGTATAACTTTGAGAAAAAAATTCTAATAGGCAAATCGACTAAGAGAAATCGCTTGAAATTATTTTCAAGTTCGAAAAATGTCTGCAAGGGGGCGTTTCTCTCATAGCCAATCAGAAAACAGTTTTTTTCTTAAAAATATGCAGGTGGACAGGTATTTTAAATATTACTATTGTAATCATCGAGAAACTTGTAATTTTTTTCTCATAAAATAAAGTGGTGGGGGAAGGTTAAACTTGCTTTTATTAAAATAAGGATAGCTCTGGTTTAGGTTAGCCGATTTAAACAAACTAGGGCTCGTTTAAAAAAGTTTTTGTTCCTTAATGATCTCCAGTATAAATTTTGTTTCTACATCTTTTTTGTGATAGCTAGAAGGCGCTGTTTGACATATGAAGGCTGCCGCTTAGGATTATATTGGTCTAAAAATTATAGTAGTAGGCTAGGAAATAAAAAGAGGTAAATTAGTTACGTCAAAATATTAAAACGTTTAAGTTCAGTTTTCATTTCAAACTAATAATCAGTTCTCTCTTGTTTTGAACTCGACACCCTTCCTTTCGAATCGGACACCCTTCTGGCATTCAGTCTTTTATAAAGAGAGTGAAGGGATATGTGTTGGGAGAGCGCATGTTGAAAGACTAATATTTAAACTTATGTTCAATTTTTTTCTCACTTCTTTCATATTACTTCATTTTTTTATATATATTTTGTAATTAATTATTGAATAATGTAGGTCTTTAATCGTATTTCTGTAATAACTTGATTATTAATTTTACTACTCTTTTCTTACATATACTTTTTTGGATGGTTGCGTGGAAGAGCACAAATGTGAACGTCGCCATCGTTATTATTTTAATTTGTATACAATTGTTTATATACCTAATAAAGACATTTTGAATTGAATTGAATTAAAACTGAAATATATATTTTAGGAAAAGCAAAAAATCCATAAGACCCTTAGTAAACGTGGCGATGGGACTCCGAGGTAAAATGAATTTGGTTGTTAAGGGTGTGAACATAGGATCAGCCGTCAATATCCTTAGCAGTGACGCGATCCAGAGCGGCATGTCAATGGCAGCAGAAATAGTCAAACTTTTTGACCGGATTAGAACGGGTAATTTAGTAACGAGAGCATTTAGTGGAATTTTCAGTGGGGCACTTAGTTTGCTGGCCGATGAAAGCGATCCAGCATTTGCCAAAGCGATTCTACCTGGAATATCGTTACCTCCTTTTGCAACAATCCGTAAGTATTAAACAACAACTATTTAGGTGGGGATAACATTGGATACAAATTCGTACGAAAAAAAACGGTTCATGAGCGCCGATTTTATTTAAAATCTGTAAAAATATAATGTAGGTTAGACCAAAGAATAGATCACAATCCTCATAAGATACTAATACCACGGCCAAAGCCACGGCATATAAAACAACGCTACGCGCATATCCTTGCGCACGCCGCCATTTGGGGTTCCAACAACAGAAAGTAACCAGCGTCGTAGTTTTTCCCGTCAAGATTTCGCCTAAGCCCTGCCTTAGGGCTCTAACTCACTGACGACCAGGTCGCAACGACCGTTAAAATATTCGAGTAAATTAAAAAGCGAAGTTGCTATTCATGAGCTTATTAAATGTTCTAATATTAAATAATGCATTTAAAATATTCTTGGATTTTTTGTTAATAAATACTGGTGTGGTAAATGGAGCAAGTAAAATCTCCAACCCCGTTATTTCCATGTTTTTCAAATCCGCGATGCCTGCTATTCGATCAGTCCTTTCATAACAGAATATTCTACATCCTACGTCTATGTAATTTAATATGTTTAGAGTGAGACATGTAACTCGAGAGATTTTCAGCATTATATCAATAAAGGACGAAAACAGTATTGTTCCTAAAGGTGCGTCCAGACTTGAGCATTTTAGCCTGAACGAACCGAGCGCGCACGAACAAGCAGAACAAATAGGCCGAACAAAAAGCATTTTGTACGCGCGACCGACAAAAAGGGAGATATTCTGTTTCTTTTTTCTACTGATATGGACTTCTACTGATGGCTCTTATCGACTTTAGAAGTAAACATATTAGGGCCATCGTAAAAAAAGTTCGTCAGACACTGGCTCTAAATATAAACAGGTAGAAAATTTAGCTTCCAGTTATTTCAATGTTTACAATATAAATTCCCCTTTTTTATTGTTACTGAGAATCTCCAACAGTAATTACTTCTATTTTTATGAATGTTTAAGTTACTTTTACTCTTAATTTTTTTTTAAATAATGTACCTAATAGAAATATAGTCTAATGAACCCTGTTTGAAAATTAAATATAATATTTAAACTACAGTTGTCCTCCTTGTACATGACTACAATACAACTAAAAATACTAATTTAATAAAAAAAAAACAAGTGGATGTAGAAAAACTTTAAATATTATTTTTTTATTTTTTAACATCGAAACTCGAAGGTATAATAACAGGTATCATACCAACCATAAATAGAGTAGGTATGTCATATAAAAATGTTTTGAATTTTTACTAGAATCGAGCCTTGATAAAAAAGGGACTAGATTTAAGTTTCCGTTTGATCCAGTCTGTACACTATTTCTTTGGATTTTCTGCACGTGTACAAAAACTACACTAAAACACTATATCTTATAGAAAATAAAATATTGTGCGTTGAATTTGAGGGATTTCATCTGAAAAATTATTAAATTGGAAGAAAACCGGCAACAAGCGGCAGAAAATAATAATATTTTAGTGTAGTCTACTGGTCGTAACGACCAACGGACGGCCAGGACGTTACGTCGCCGTCGGCGCGGCGCGACGCGGCGCAGCGCCATATGGAAATTTCTTTTGTCTGCTTGCCATGTATTTAAACGGACCAACGTACCCTAGAGCGCGCCGCGTAATTTCCGTCAAGAAGTCGGTAGACTTCTCTAGCAACTTTTTTCCGTCTCCCGCGTTTCGGCGCGTTGCAGTGTGCGTACCCGCGACTCGGCAACGGAAATAATTTTTCATCTTGAATCTCTTCAGCTGACTATTTGACTGGGAACTAATGATACGTATCAATGGTAGAATTATATTTTTAAAGGTAAATTAGGCAAACAGATTTTCATAAAGGAATATTATATCTTTTTAGTCTTCCCTCACTAGAGGCAGGTGGATGAAATATTTTTCTATCAAAGATTTAATATAATTGAGTGGTGTAGAAGCAAAATTTGCAATCTCCACTTTTTGACAAAAGTGGCAATCTCCAATTTTTAATTTCTAATTACCTAAATATATAAAAAATATTAGGGTTTTTTCATCACGTAACTAATATACATATCAGAATAAATAAGAATTATCAAAAGTCGTCAGTATAAGCGATTCATTATTGCATTGTTAGTAATTTGTCTCTTCTGAAAATATATGATCAGTAGAGATAGCCGGTGTTTTGCTTCTAAAACCCTCAACTGAGGAGTTCGTAAAATGTCTCCTTTATATTTTGTAATACTGAAAAAATGATCTGGTCTTTTATTAAATCAGGAAAAAGATGGAAAAATTCTCCAAACTTCTTTTTATTGTTAATCTTATGAGTCCAAACTTTCCTTTTCTCCTTCATCTGCTCTCCCTCTTCATCTGTTAGAAGAGCACAAAAAATATGCTTTCGTCCGCACTTGAACTCATTGCTTTAAAAACTAAACTACAGTAAGTAAAAAACTCTTCGACTAACTAAATAGCTTTTCCGCGTTTCAGGAGCGCGCTGTAGTGGGCGCAGCGTCCCGAAAAAAGTTCTCTTCCCAGCGCCGCTGCGCTGTCTAGTGGGCGACAACCTTTAGATAAAGACAGAAGACTGCCGTACGTCGTGCATCGAATTTAATAATAGAGATGTTCGGTCCTAAGATTTCAGTACCGGTATCCGGTAACACGAAATACCCGTCCTACAACCGGTATACCGGTTTCAACGATTAGATCGGTGGGACCGATACTGAACCGGTATACCGTAGTTTTTGTCTTAGTTTTTCTCGTCAAGATTTCGCCTAAAGGTTGTCGCCCACTAGACCGCTGCGCGGCGCGGCGCTGGGAAGAGAATTTTTTCCGACTGCGAAGGGACTGCGCCCACTATAGCGCGCTTTTGAAACGCGGCAACGCTATTTAGTTATAGTCGAAGTGTTTTTTACTTACTGTAATTTAGTTTTTAAAGCAATGAGTTCAAGTATGGACGAAAGCATATTTTTGTGCTCTTCTAACAGAGGAAGAGGAAGAGGGGGTGAGGAAAAGTTTGGACTCATACGATTAACAAAAAAAGAAAGAAGTTTGGAGAATTTTACCATCTTTTTCCAGATTTAATAAGAGACAAAATCATTTTTTTCAGTATAACAAAATATAAAGGAAACATTTTACGCACTCCTCAATTGAGGGTTTTAGAAGAAAAAACACCGGGTATATCTACTCATCATATTTTTTCAGAAGAGACAAATTACTAATACTTTTGATAATTCTTATTTATTCTGATGTGTATATTAGTTATGTGGTCAAAAAAACCCTGATCTTTTTTATATAGTTAGGTAATTAGAATTTAAAAATTGGAGATTGTCACTTTTGTTAAAAAGTGGAGATTGACGGTTTTGCCTACACCACTCAATTATATTAAATCTTTGATAGAAAGGCATTTCGTCCATCTGTCTCTAGTGAGGGAAGACTAAAAAAAATATCATATTCCTTTATGAAAATCGATTTGCCTAATTTACCTTTAAAAATACAATTCTGCCATTGATACATATCACTAGTTCCTAGTCAAAAAGCCAACTGAAAAGACTCGAATGCAAAATTATTTCCCTTGTGAGTACGCACACTGCAACGCACCGAAACGCGAGAGACGGAAAAAAGTTGCTAGCGAAGTCTTCTGACTTCTTGACGGAAATCCCGCGGCGCGCTTCTGCGCTGCGCGCTCTAATGTGCGTTGGTCCATTTAAATACATGGCAAGCAGACAAAAGAAATTTCCACATGGCGCCGCGCCGCGTCGCGCTGCGGTCTAGTGGGCGACAACCTTAAGCCCCGTCTTAATAGGCTACAACTCAGACTTACGTCGCGTCGCTACCGCACGATGAGTTAGATAGAGACAAAACTACCGTACGTCGTGCATCGAATTTAACAATAGGAATATTCGGTCCTAAGATTTCAGTACCGGTACCCGGTACCACGAAATACCCGTCCTACAACCGGTATACCAGTTTCAACGATTAGATTGGTGGGACCGATACTAAACCAGTAGCGAACCAGAACACGTATACATGGGCATATGAGGCTTTGGGACTAGAGACGGCAAGAGGAGGCCGGGTGGACAACTCAAAAGGTACAAGGATATTTTCCACGAAAACTTAGGGAAGGGAATTAACAAGCAGAATGAGTGGCTCACAATAGAACGGAATGGAGAAGAATTGTAAAGTCAGTTAACAGCGACAACCAAAAAGTAAAGAGGCCACAAAGCAATGAGATTTTTGAATGTCCAGAGTGCGGTAGACAGATAACATCACGTATCGGGCTTTTCAGTCACAGAAAAGCTCATGAAAGAAAACGCCTTGCGTGACCATCTTCTGATGCGTGTCAAATACTCGTCAGCGAGTAATGGCAGTATATATATATATATGTATGTATGTGGTGCTGGTTTTCGTGACCATTGTAAACCGCATTTCGTAAAATTGAAAATACATACATTAATGTTTTCCTTTATATGTATATTCTTCAGCAACTGTTGGAGATACATAAAAATGAATCTTCTTTTACCCATAACTTGGACATTCATAATTATGGCACAAGATTAGCAAGTTCAATAAGATCAAATAAATTTCGATTGTGTAAATCAGATAAGAACTATCTGAATGTAAAACTGTACAACGTATTACCACCTCCAGTAAAAAATCTAAACAATAAAAAATCGTCAGGGTAGGCAAGGTATGCGGCGCCTACCCTAAGATTTTGGCAGGATTTAAGCGGTTTATTACATTACATTATTTACTTTATTTATGTTGCCAATACATACATACTGCCATTACTCGCTAACGAGTATTTGACACGCATCAGAAGATGGTCACGCAAGGCGTTTTCTTTCATGAGCCTTTCTGTGACTGAAAAGCCCAATACGTGATGTTATTTGTCTACCGCACTCCGGACATTCAAAAATCTCATTGCTCTGTTGCCTCTTAACTTTTTGGTTCTCGCTGTTAACTGAGTTTACAATTCTTCTCCATTGAGTTCTATTGTGAGCTGCTA